CCTTCTGCCTCTCGCGCTGCCGTGCCCACTGGAGCCCGCCGCCGATCTCCCCACCACGTGCTGCCCTGCGCCCGCAGCCATGTGCCGGACCCTGTCCGCCTTCCCCACCACCTGCCTGGAGAGGTAAGAGGGGCTTGTCCCGCCGCCCGGAGGAAGTGGGGCGCCGGCTTGGGGACCAGGGCTGGCGGGTTAATAGGATGCTGAGCACTGATGGGCGAGGCAGAGGTCACCTGCGTGCCGCTTGATCAGCTGCTTCCCTTAGAACAGCGGTTCTCAACCTGTGGGTCGCGACCCTTTGGGGGGTCGCCTAAGACCATCGGAAAACACATATTGAATGTATAATTGCATATTGTTTTTGTGATGAATCACTATACTTTGTGTTCAATTTGTAACAATGAAAATACATCCTGCACATCAGGTATTTACATTACGATTCATAACGGTAGCAACAGTACAGTTATGAAGGAGCAACGAAAATAATTTTATGGTTGGGGGTTACCACAACATGGGGAGCTGTATTAAAGGGCCGCGGCATTAGGAAGGTTGAGAACCACTGCCTTAGAATCTCAGAGAAGCAACGGAGCCAAGAGGAGAGAGGAGGGAAAACAGGGGCCGCTGCTTACTGTCCCTCTAGCCTCTGACAAAGGCAGTCCTTCTCAGGTGACTGCTGAAGACCACCTTGGCATCCCCAGCCCGGACTGACCATCTCCCTTAGTTTCTCAAGCACTTGGTTTTTATTGGCTAGCCCACACCTGGGGGCGTGGCCTCCTCTGGCCCTGGGAAGGCAGGGAGGTGGTTTTGGGTCCGCAGGTGAGGGATGGACCCACTTCCCAGGCGGCCACTCAGCTGCCCCCAATCCTTGCTGGCGCTGGAAAAGATAAGATGAGGAATTACTTTCCAGGCAGTTCCAGAAATCCTCAGCACAAGCCCAGAGGGTGAGAGCAGTGTGACTTAACTGTCTGAGGTGCTGTAAGCTCAGACAGTGTAAGACCTACCGAGGCCTGGCTGGCTCAAACATTCCTTTCATTGTTTGGGGGTTCTTGGTACTAAGGAGAGAAGCCAAGTTCCCAGGAACCCGTGAGGCGGGAACTCAGGGGGCGCCAGCCCGAGCTCTTAGGCCCCATAAACCTCTCTGCCCTGGCTGAGCACATGGAGAGTCCTTATACGTATGCTCCTCCTGCCTTGTCTTCCAGAGCCAAAGAGTTCAAGACCCGGCTGGGGATCTTTCTTCACAAATCAGACCTCAGCTCCGATGCTGGGAACGCTGGCAAGCCCGAGTGGAACAACAAACACAGCAAAGAGCGGTGAGTCCTGCCGACCAGCCCAGGGCCCCTAGAGGAGACCGAGTCCGATTTAGGAAAGGAGTCACGAGAGGGAGAATCCAAGGAGAAACCAGGACATGCTGGGAGGGACCTGGGTGACCGCCTCCCCCCTCCCCCCCTCCCCCGGGCTTCCTGCTGGTCCGCTCTGGCTGCTTGGCTCCTGGGTGACTGGGAGGATGGCTCCAGGGTTCTAAGTCTGCCTACAGATGAGTGTACCCAGGACCCGAATGTCCAGTTACCATACTCTCCCACCTGGAGATGTCATTGCGCATGCAACCAGGGCTAGGACAGGGTCCAAGGCCCGCTTCAAGTTTTCAGTCATTGGCTCTGCTTCCACGGGTATGCGCCTTACCTAAAAGCCCTTTTGTATTCAACATCAACTGTGCCAGGTGCTGTGCCAGGCTCTGGGGTTCTGGGTGACATACCCTTTATTCACGAGGCCCTTATTTCCTTGGGGAAAAGTACAAAACAACACCCCGAGAGCCAGGGGAAAAGAATGAATCTTGGACAGCAAGGAGACCGCCTTAGAAGATATTTACTGAGGGCCAAACGGGGCCTGGCTTTGGTTCCTGGTTACAGACTTGCCTTCTAGAAAATACTTCTGTTTCCCCTTCCCCCAACCAAGGGTTGGAGGAGTCGGTTCCAATAATCGCCGAGCAAGTCTTCGTGTGAATTAGGCAGCTCCCACCAGAGTTCTGGCTAGGATTTGTGCTATGCATGAATTGGTTGGACTTTTTCTTTAAATTAAAATCTTGGCCTTTTTTTTTTTTTAAGCAGAAACTTCTCAGAAGATGTGCTGGGATGGAGAGAGTCGTTCGACTTGCTGCTGAGCAGTAAAAGTGAGTAGGACCCCGTGGTGTCTGTCTGTGGATGGCACGTGTGCGCTCATGTGCTTGGGGGGCCAGCCTGAGAGATGCTGAAAGGGCGGGCAAGATAACAGTAGTAATAATAATAATGGTCCCCTAGTCTGCCAGCCTCTCTGTTCAGAATACAAAGGCAGGTCCTTGTTCGAGAAAATTGCCTCCTAAAAATAGAGCTGTTAACGGCAATGGCTGTCTTTGCTTCTTTTATTCCCTGCTGTTCCCTCAGTCTGACCAGTCTCTTCCTCTCTCCCTCCAACCCAGATGGCGTGGCTGCCTTCCATGCTTTCCTAAAGACGGAGTTCAGCCAGGAGAACCTGGAGTTCTGGCTGGCCTGTGAGGAGTTCAAGAAGATCCGGTCAGCTACCAAGCTGGCCTCGCGGGCGCACAGGATCTTTGAGGAGTTCATCTGCAGTGAAGCCCCGAAAGAGGTCAGAGCCCAGATATGTCCCAAGATCCTCCGGACCCTGCCTGCTCCTTCCCCACTGAGAATTGGGGGGCTTTGTGCCACCCTTGGGTGCCATTACCCTCAGACTCACTGAAGGGGTTGGCAGGTGCTTTGGCATCTGTCCATACCCACTCTTGCAGACTGAGCCATTCTTAGAAGCCCAAAACACACAGCTGGGGAGCCAGGTCATTGTAGGGACCTTGTGTAACCTGCTTGGCTCCCCTGGCTGGCCTGCCTTAGATGGGCAACTCTGTGATCAGTGAACTTGCAACCTTCTCTCAGGCCTCCACCCCCTGGCGCCTGCATTTGATAAGGACCATGGGGCCACCTAGTGGAGAGAGGAGAGAAATGCTTTGCTTTTAGTGCCAGAGTTTCTATTTTATTTTCTGAACACGTTTATCTATCTAGTCCACGTTATTCTGTAAAGATTTACTGAGCATCAGTTCCATGCCAGGTCCTGCTATAGTCATTGGGAAGAGAGCAGTGAACAAACAGAGCCTCTATCCTAGTGGGAGAAGGTGCCAGCAACCAATCAAACAAATAAACATTTGCCAGGGGGTGCTCTAATCCTCTGATAACAGAAAGTAGGTACAGGAGGGAGCACAGGGGTGGGGGGACGGCGGTGAGGTCTTCCCATTTTACAGAGGGAAGTGAGAGGTGGGCTATCGGATAAGGTGACACATGAACAGAGGCATGAGAGATATGGGAGGACAGAACACCTAACAGGAAAAGGAAAGTGCAAAGGCCAGAGAGTGTTGTCATCATCACAAGCCAGCTCCTTGGCCTGTGTGGAGCAGGGAGAGGATAGCAGATGAGGTCACACAGGTGGCAGGTGGCCAGGGGTGGGTCCAGGTAGCTGCGTGGGCCCAGCATGCACTGTGGCTTTTCCTCTGAGTGACATGGGAAGATGAGAGTTGTCACCAGACTGGCTTGGGGTTTGAAAGGTTCAGTCTGGCTGCCGAAAGGAGAACAGACTTGGGGAGGGACGGGGGGAGGAGAAGGCGGGAGGAGAGAGAAGGGAGGGGTGGGGGAGGACCCGCTAGCAGGCTCTGGCACTAACCTAGGAGTGGTTGTTAGAGAGCAAGGGGTGAAAAGGGGTTGCATGTGTGGACAGTCTTAACACATGCTTGAGGATTCTGAGAGATTGGAGGGCAGACACTGGATCAGATGTGGGGACAGGCTCAAAGTTGAAAGCCACTTAATAATGGACTCTGGAGACCCAGGTTCCTGGTTCAGAATCCAGGGCTCCTTCCACTGCCCCAGCTGCCAGTCCTTCCTCCCTCTGCCTGCTGGATCCTTCCCCGTGCCCCGCACCCCCACTCACCCACGCACTTGCCCGCCTTCCCACAGGTGAACATAGACCACGAGACCAGGGAGCTGACCAGGACCAACCTGCAGGCTGCCACGGCCACGTGCTTCGAGGTGGCTCAGGGGAAGACACGCACCCTGATGGAGAAGGACTCCTATCCGCGCTTCCTGAAGTCGCCCGCTTACCAGGACCTGGCTGCCCAGGCCTCGGCCACCAACGCCTCTCCGTCCAGCTGCAGCTCAGCCGAGCCCTCACACACCTGAGCCTCGTGGCAGCGAGGAGCCAGCCGGGAGGAGAGGTTGAGTCACCCAGCCCTGAGGCAGCTGCCCCTGTGTGGGAGGCAGGTTCTGCAAAGCAAACCAGAGGACAGTGAAGGACAAAGCCGTGTTATTTTTGTTTGTTTTTGGAAGCCACAGCCTCTCCTCCAGAAACGGTGGGACTGAACTTCATGCATGAGAGGGTCGTCCCCACTCCCAGGACTTGTGGATAAGGGCTGGAGGTCACGGCTGTGTGGCGCTCTCTGGGGAAAAGAAGGGTGGTGCAGGAGGTATCACGGGCTCTTGTCATTCCCAACGGGGCAGGAAAGAGTCCAGGGGGTTTGGGAAATGTAAATAAAGGGAAACTCAAAAACGGGAGGGAAGACAGCCAGGTCAGCTGCTCTGCCCGTGGCACAGCGGGCTGGTCACAGCCTGTGTGCCTCATTCCCAGGCTGTCCTGGGCACGGGAGGGAACCCTGGACGCGGACCCTTCCCGTTCCATCCACCCCACCTGCCTCGGCCACCCAAGGGCCCTTTAGCTTGTACTTCTTAACACTCCCGTGTCCAGCCTCACAGTCTTTTCAAGTCCAGGGACCAGCTGGCCCCAAGGGAGATTTTTATACCTCAAACACTGGCCTGTGAGCCCACTTCCAAGTCAGCGGAGAGCCCCCAAGAGACACCATCTTGCTCATGGGAAATGAACCTTGGTGCTCTCGGTGACCTTGCAGGTGGTCCCTGACCTTGTGTCTGCAGCAGGGTGCACACGGGAGCAGGGCCTCTTGCTGGGATATGCCCCCTCAGCTCCGTTCCAGCCTTGAACCCACGCCCTCGAGGAGAAAGGGGTGGCCCCTCTTGGTGAGTGGCTAGTCGGCTCTGATGCCCAGCTGTGTGCAGGGAGAGAGAAAAGGACCCTAAGATAGAAATCTCTTGACAGTGCCTGAAAGTTCTGTTTAAGTCAAGCCAATATTTTTGTGTGAGGATGAGAACAGGGGAAAAGAGGCACCCAGGCTGGAAGTGGGGGAGCCTCTGTCTCCTTCCGGTGGGTGCGAGGGGCACTTACCACAATGAAAGGGACCACGATGACCCTTGGACAGATCCCAGGAGCTGGGAGTGGAGTTACAGAGAGAGGCTGCGTGGAAGAGCAGGACTGGGAAAATCGGAACCTGCCTGTCACCTCAGGGCATCACTGAACAAACCTGCTGGGGTGGGGGGGGTGGGGGGTGCGCAGGAGGCCAGGCTGGGGAGGTGATGGACCAGGCGGCCCCCTGTGCCCAGGAATCAGCCCTATTCTCACTGCACTGTGAGCTCCTCCAGGAGACAATTATTTAAGTTATAACGTCTTGTTGGTTCTGTGACTGCCAGAGCATGTTATTTTTGTTACTGTTGGTGTGATTGCTGTTGTTATTTATTATTGTGACTATATTATTGTGACTACAGTCTGCCTCGACCCGAGAATCTCAGCAGGACCTGGCAGCCTGTGTCCCTCCCGCCACCAGGCTCTCTACCTCGGGACGTGCTGGGAACCTCTTGGCGCCGGTCAGGGACTCCTCACTATTGAAATATTTATTTATTGTTGACAACTGGAGCTGGTTTCCGAGATATAGATGATGTACTCAATCCCTGTGTTTCCTGTTGCAGCATGTTATATTCTTGTAAAATAAAAATAAAACCCCAACGTGAGATCCTGTCTCCACGGGCTGTGTGTGTGGTCAGGGGACGTGGGGCGAGAGAGTCCTGTGGAGGAACTGGCCTCCGCCAGTCCCACAAGGACAGAAGGATGAGCTTCCCTGTCACAGGTGATGAAAGACCCATGTTTGACTGGGAACTGGTGGAAGGGAAGAGAGGGCGACAGGGACTAAGGGTGGAGCCCATCCATCATGGTGGACCCAACTTGTGTTGGGCTGTTAGGTCATGTTGGTGGGACTCGGCTCAGCCTGCTGTCATTTCAGAGCCCATATGACTTTGTCCTCTGAGTAGAGACAGCACAGCCGTGACCAGTTCTGCCTGTGCCAACACAAGGGCTGCTCCCCTTGGTCTAGTAGCTAGACATTATCAGGTGGTAGTCATTTTTACTTTTGCCCATTTCCCGCTTTATGAGTATTTTATAAGTTCATATACATTCAAAGTCGTATTCTGGAGTCATTTCACTGACTTCTCTGCGATGAGCTAGGGCAGTGGTCAGCAAACTCATTAGTCAACAGAGCCAAATATCAACAGTACAACGATTGAAATTTCTTTTGAGAGCCAAATTTTTTAAACTTAAACTATATAGGTAGGTACATTGTTATTAACTTAATTAGGGTACTCCTAAGCTGGCCTTTGCTAAAAACATCCTCAATCTGATTGAGGTACGTTCGCTGAGGTCGACCCCTTCCAACTCTCCCATCCACACTCGTCTTGTATACTTGTTTCATCTATCTCCTTTCGTTCATCCTCTCTATATGTCCAAACCATCTCAACATACCTTTCTCAATCCTCAACACTACATCTTCTTTCACTCCATAATGTTCCCTGTATGTGCGCGCCCGCACGTGGTATTTTGTGGAAAAGCCACACTCAAGGGGCCAAAGAGCCGCATGTGGCTCGCGAGACGCGGTTTCCCGACCACTGAGCTAGGGGAAGCCACTCTGTATGTGCGACTGCTCCACTCCAGGGCTGAGGGAATAATGGGTGAGTGGGGCTTGAGGACTTTGGGGGGAGGTTTGCAAGGATCCAACTCTGTTCTCCTTTCTCAACCTATAGATCTCTTAATTCTTTCTCTCATTACCGCTATTTAAAAAAAAGAAATTCTTCCCTATGTTGAATTATCTGTTTCTATACGGACCTGGACCTTATGTTGACTTTTATTGCTCCCCTGCTGTTAGTTAGCCTGAGTAAAGTGACCAGGCTTCAGGTACATTGGGTAGAAAACCCCAGGAATCACACGCTAAGCCCAGATCTAAGAGGCGATGGATTCTGGGGGTGCTGCCTGAGGGATTCTGAGTGTAAGAGCCTGGGAAAGGAAGAAGGGAACAAACATTGTGGGGGCTCCCTGGTCTCATTTAGTCCTTAGAGCAGCTCTGTGAGGTTAAGTAGGATTACCCATCACACAGATGAGGAAATGAAATCTCCAGAGGGAGGAAACGTGCCCCGGGCAGCTGGCCTAAGTGAGAGTAGAATTTGCAATAACATGGGTGCCCAGATGGGTGAGGGAGCTTGGACTCTGGGCTTACATTAGCCTCTCTGAGTCCCAGTTCCATCAGCAGCAGGACTGTTAGGGAGTAACTGGGACAGTGAAGCAATGAGTGGCAGGCCCCCAAGTCAGTGCTCAATAAATGTTTATTTTCCACTCATTTCCCTCAAGAAGATAGAGGATTTGGAGTAAGGTGGTGAGGATCAAGCTGGAGGCTGTGACCTGAAAGGCTGAGAGGTGAGCAGCATGACCTTGGATATCAAATTGGTCACCGGCCCTCAGAGAAGAGCCACCACTTTTCTCTAGAGCAGCGGTTCTCAACCTGTGGGTCGCGACCCCTTTGGGGGTCGAACGACCCTTTCACAGGGGTCGCCTAAGACCATCGGAAAACACATATATAATTACATATTGTTTTTGTGATTAACCACTATGCTGTAATTATGTTCAATTTGTAACAATGAAATTGGGGGTCACCACAACATGAGGAACTGTATTAAAGGGTCGCGGCATTAGGAAGGTTGAGAACCACTGCTCTAGAGGGTATAAAAGCCCTGGTTACACAGGCTATGCCTTCCAGAGGGAGTGTCTGTGTGCCAGATTACCCACCCTTCGCTCCCTGCTCACTCCTTCCTTGGCTCCGCCCCCCTGGCTCCGTGACTCTGACCAGGGGAATTTTTTTCTGCAACAGTATTTAAGATTAGGTGCTGACAGGAAGTAACAGAGGCAGCAGCGGAGTTTAGAAGGTAAGATGAGCAGAAGGGGGAGAGCTGGAAACGACTGATAAGTTCTTTTCTTTGAAGGATTCCCTGGGCGTTGGGGATTTGGAGGTGAAAGGGGTGTGGGACTTTGGGAGAGAAAAGAGAGGCAGCAAGAGGCACCCCAGGGCTCTTGAGTCCCGAGCCTTCCTGAGAATGCCAAGGTTCTGCCACAATCCACACATTATTTACTCAAGTCGGCTCTGTTTACCAGGCACCTCGGGTCAAATGGGGAAAATGAAACTGAAAGCAGGAAGTGCCCTCGCCCTGCTTTTGTTGGGATGATCTATCCTCCACTCGGATATTTCACTCAGGGTTTCTTTCCTTCTCTGCTCCTTTGCTGAGACTGGCCCCTCTCAGCTGTAACAGACACGCTTGGATCAATGGTTTCATTGCCGGGCGGTGGTGCTCGGGCAGCACTGTTGATTTGGACCTCAGAAGGTGGAGACTTGGAGACAGAGTGCTGAGATAGCTGAAAAATGGTGGCTGTGTGAATTTGGGAGCAGGTGCAGTAAATATCCAGATAACACTTTGGTGCAATCTGATGCTTAAATTGGATGTCACTTGCTCTGAACTGATGGAGGGCAGTTGGACTAAAGTGACACTCCCAGCTCCTATTTGTGTAGTATGTTTGTGCAGATGGGTGGGGGAATAGGATGCGTTGTTGACATGTTCTAAAATTCTGCCATTGTCTGTTTCTGGGTAATGGGATTATAAAGTAATAGTTTTCATTATTTGACTTTATATATGTATATTTATAATATTATGTAATACAAGACCCTATATATTAAAAGGGTAATAGGCAAATTATCCCCTGGACAGGGAGTTCAACCAGAGTTCAACCAGGGGGCAGAGCCGGCCCGTCAACTGCCTGCGGGGGGGCCCCCCCCCCACCCGTCAGCCCTGCCCCTAATTGCCCCCCAATCCCGATGGGGGCAGGGCTGGCTGGCCATCCTCCCATGTCCCCTCCCCTTGGCTGGCCAGGCCTGATGGACCCCGATGGGGGCAGGCCGGCCAGACCCCACCCATGCACGAATTCGTGCACTGGGCCTCTAGTTCTATGATAGGTAAGTAGGAGTATTTTGAAAAGGTTGCTAGTAAAATTCATTTTTTTTCCTAATTCAAATGTTTTCTGACTATTATAAAACTACAAAATACCTCTTTTGTCTCCAGGTGTAATGTCAGAAGACTCCCAGGGTGTTGCCCTTCCTCATACTGCTGATCTGTAGTCAGATAATCCTGATTTATCGTGACAGGAGTTTCTAGCGCTCCATGTTTCTTTGATCAAGTCCCAAGGAGATAAGTTTTCATTTCCTCAAAGGCAAAAAGTTGTAACCAGTGGTATTTATGGTCATGGAGACCAAGAGCCATAACAACCCCCAGGACAGACCCACACCCGCTGGCAATGGGAGGACTTCCGGAGACAACAATCATTTGTTGATAACAGCTGTTAAACAATTAGACATGGAGCTGGTCAAGCAGTTGCTGGAAGGAGGGGCTGATGTCAATTTCCAGGAAGAGGAAGGGGGCTGGTCCCCTCTGCATAACGCAGTGCAAATGGACAATGAGGACATGGTGGAACTGCTGCTTCGCTATGGTGCTAACCCTTGTCTGAGGAAGAGGAATGGGGCTACGCCCTTCATTGTCGCTGGGATTGTGGGAAATGTGAAGCTGCTCAGACTTTTCCTTTCAAAAGGTGCAGAGATCAACGAGCGGGATCTCCACGGCTTTACGGCTTTCATGGAAGCCGCTGAGTATGGTAAGGTCGAAGCCTTAAGATTCCTGTATGAGAACGGAGCAGAAGTAAATTTGGGTCGAAAGACAATGGAGGACCAAGAGAGGCTTAAGAAAGGAGGGGCCACCGCTCTCATGGATGCTGCTAAGCACGGACGGGTAGAGGTCTTGAGGATCCTTCTTGAAGAGATGGGGGCAGATGTCAGAGCTCGTGACAACATGGGCAGAAATGCTTTGATCCATGCTCTTGCAAGCCCTAAGAACAGTAATGTGGAGGCCATCACTCGCCTTCTGTTGCACCATGGGGCCGATGTCAATGTGAGTGGAGAAGGGGGGAAGACGCCCCTGATCCTGGCAGTGGAAAAGGGGCACCTGACTTTGGTACGGATGTTTCTGGAACAAAAACCTATCGAGATTGATGACACAGACAGGGAGGGCAAAACAGCACTGCTGTGGGCTGTCGAACTCAATCTGACGGAAATTGCCCAGCTGCTGTGTGGCAAAGGAGCCAGCACGGATTGTGGGAACCTTGTTATGTTAGCGAGGCGCCATTACAACAGTTCCCTTGTAAAACTTCTTCTCCATCATGGAGCCAGGGAAGATTATCACCCTCCAGCTGGAGACTGGGAGCCTCAGAGCTCACACTGGGGGCCGGCCCTGAAACATCTCCACAGGATATACCGCCCTATGATCGGCAGACTCAAGATCTTTAGGGATGAAGAATATAAAATCGCTGACAGTTCAGAAGGAGGCATCTACCTGGGGTTCTATGACGACCAAGAGGTAGCTGTGAAGCGATTCTCTGAAGACAGCAGTCTTGGACAAAGGGAAATCTCCTGTCTACAGAGCATCCGAGGGAACAGTAACTTGGTGACAATCTACGGGCATGAGATCCACAAGGGCTGTCTGTATGTGTGCACCTCCCTCTGCGAGCTGACACTAGAGAGGCATTTGGCCCAGCACAGAGGGGAGGCTGTGGAAAACGAGGAAGATGAGTTTAGCCGAAACATCCTCTTATCTA